TAGATGCTAGACCAGGCATCGACAAACTGGCCCTCCAGATGTTTTGGACTTCAACTCCTACAATTTGTTCACATACGTAGGGTGCCCAGGCAAATACTTAAATACAAAACTCTCTCTCTCTGTATATGAATGTGTGTGTATACACGTATACACACACACACATCTCCATACAGGCACCTGCCTGTATTTTTTCTATTTTTTAGAGAGAGATTTTGTAGTCTAGCTCTACATGTATTCATTCTAAACAAGTGCCACCAAATTAAGTAGGATTTATTCAGCCTAAGTATATAGGTTTGTAGCCATAGCAACTTATTATATTTCTATCTATCCATTTTATTTATTTATTGAATGTATACCCTGTTTTACTCCCAGGATGTTATCCAAGGTGGTTAGCATAAGTGGTTGAGGGGAAAAAGGAAAAGGCCTGAGGCTGTTAGGAATTATGGGAGTTGAAGTCCAAAACACTTGGAGGACCGAAGTATGCCCATGCCTGTGCTAGACTTATATTTGTACCCAATTCCTTGCTATTTTTTTTAAAAAATAGCTTTCTATTTTTTAAAAAATGCCAAGTGAATCAAAGTGAGGGCCTATGTAAGTCTATCAATAGCTATTACATTTTTGTTACCTGTGGGAAGCAGCAGGTTCTGTACACCATTGAATACAAGCTCAAGAAACATTGTCAGAGAGGTCTTACGTCTTCATGTTTTGCCCACATATACCTATGCATCTCAGAGATCCTCCCCTTCTTTTCCTTCTCCTTCAATTAAGTAATTTTCCTAATTATGTTATCAGTTGGGCAACACTTGCCTTTTTACCTAGAATTTCTCTCTGCCTCTCACTCTCTCGTGAGTCACCAGTCAGGTTACTTATACAGAAACCACCTGGCTCAGGTGAAACACAGCCATTTCAGGGAGACTGGCACGGCAGGCCTGCTTAGCCATGCGATACATGAGGCTAAACCAAAATAATAATAATAATAAATAGCTAACAGAATGCCTAATGAGAATTGCAGAGAGTAGTAGACAGTTGTTAGAGGTTCCCAGTATTGTCAAATAACACAGAAATGATTTCCATCATCTTGGAATACAAATCGCAGCACCTAGGTCTGATAGTTTTTAAGTTTCGTTTTCCTAAGGCATTAAAACTCCATGGGGGAAATGGAACTGACTTTTGCTAAGGTAGGAGGTTGTTTTTAATGATCCCAGTCTCAAAGGTAGGACTTTTCACTAGCCGCTGACTACAGATCAAAACACCCATAACATAAACCTCACCTGGCAGCATACCATAAATAAACAGGTGCTTCGTATTTGTGTCGGGCACATTGGACCTAGTCTCACTACATAATTATGGTGTTATGATTCCACTTTAACTGCATCTGTTTGAATCCAGGAACACTCAGAATTGCCAGACAAACAACTCAGGATTCAACAGGGTGAAGTTGACAATTAAAGAGGAATCGTACTGTGATAAACATTCAGTATGAACAGGACACATATATTTTCTGTGTTGTCCTTGTACAGGTGAAAGGTTCTCCCCAGACATATCCATTAACTGCTTATTTGCATGGGGATGATGAGAGACTCTACTTTTCATTTGTAGCTTTGGACTTTTTAACTATTCCTTCGACAATTAACATTTTGGCTCTGCCTTTCACCGTTTTTATTTATTTCCACTTGTTCTTGGATATTAAGCAACAGTATTTTCTAAGGCTTTTCGAATTAGTTTTATACCAAAATGAAAAAAACGAACTATCCTGACATGACTTAGAACAGGCATGGGCAAACCTCTGCCCTCCAAGTGTGTTGGATTTCAACTCCCACAATTCCTAACAGGCTACCCGCCTGTTAGGAATTGTGGGAGTTGAAGTCCAACACACTTGGAGGGCAGAAGTTTGCCCATGGCTGCCTTAGAAGATCAACATTCTCCCTCTAGGGGTTTCTGTACTATATTTCCCACCTTCCCATGACTAACATGCTCAATGCTGGCAACTGCAGCTCTTGCTAAAGTCCAAAACATCTTGAAAGGCACTAGGTCAATGCGTAAACAACACAATGATTTAAATAGCAGGTGCTATTGCAGAAGAAGCACCTCCGGGTGACCTGGACAGGTGATACATGTATTACACACGAAACAGGTGAAAACAACCAAATGCTCCAAGATTTCCAGCACGTTTTGGCCTAAAGGGATTATTTTTGTTGTTGCTGTGCATGCCTTGTAGTCATTTGCAATTTATAGTGACCCAAAGGCACCCTATCACAATTTTATTGGCAAGATTGGTTTAGAAGGGTTTGCTATCTCCGTCCTCTTGAGGCTGCATCTCGCTCTGGCACCACGAGATGCAGAGCTCACCTTAAGAAATGGGGCTACAACGTGGAGTCCGTGATATGCGAGTACGGAGAAGAGCAAAGCACAGACCACCTACTACAATACAACCTGAGCCCTGCCACATGTACAATGGAGGACCTTCTCACAGCGACACCAGAGGCACTCCAAGTGACCGGTTTCTGGTCAAAGGACATTTAGTACGATGCCAAGTTTTTAACTTTGTGGTTTTTCTACACATTGTACCCTCAATTTGCTTCTGACATGATAAATAAAAATCTATACTGTGTCATCAGTGCAGTTTCACAGTGCAGCTCAAAACAACAAAACCATGGGGTGCACAACAGAAGCTCTTGTTGGCTAACTTTGTGAAGCTACAAGTCCTGGGATTCCACAGCAATTCACCATGGCACTTAATGCAGTGTCAAACTGCATTAATTCTACAGTGTAGAGGCACCCTGAGACTTGACAAAATGGGTTTCTACACGCCTACTAGGGATTTGAATCCTGGTCTCCAACTAAACCACAATATAATGCTGGATTCCTTCCTGAACCCCAACTATGACAATTAGTTATGTCTCCAAAACAAAGAAACTAGTGGCCCATCCAATTTGCCTCCAGAGAGAAAAATTTGGACCCCCAGGACTTTAGACATTAAGTGTGACTTTTTAAAACACAGTAGACTCTCAGTTAACCAGAATTCAAGTAACCAGAGATCTTAAACAACTGGCAAAAAAATCAAAGAAATAATAAATTTAATATGTATTTATTTTTGCCTGAAATTTTATTTTTAGTTAAGATAAATTTGCTTTAAATTACTGCATTTCATTAATAATATCAGGTCAAGACAAGGGTTTATGGTATAGTACGTATTATTTTTATTTATAATAGCAAATCCCAGGCAACCAGAGTGTCCATTTATCTGGCTTCTATCAATCCCCATAAGCACCTGTTAACTGAGGATGCATCTATATATTGTACAATTAGTGTAGTTTGATACCTTTTTAACTGCCATGGCTTAATGTTATGTAATAATAATAATAATAATAATAATAATAATATACATCACACAGTCCTAGACGCTTGGGAAGTGTTCGACTTGTGATTTTGTGATACAAAATCCAGCATATAGATCTCGTTTGCTGTGCCATACTGTGTTTTTGTGTCAGTAAAATAGGCCCTCCAAAGTGTATCATATTAGTGTCCCCCCAGATCCTTAACATGGGCCCCCCAGGTCTTTTGGACTCCAACTCCCACCATTCCTAACAGCCTCAGGCCCCTTCCTTTTCCCCCCGAGGCTGTTAGGAATGGTGGGAGTTGGAGTCCAAAACACCTGGAGGGCCCAAGTTGGCCCATGCATGAGCTATCTCAACCTACTAATTTGCACATGGTTTCTGATTGGCCAGCCTCAACTTTCTAACATTTTTAAGTGYCTGAAGGGGAAAATAAAGGGATCTGAAGCTGTTAGGAATTGTGGGAGTTGTAGTCCAAAACACCTGGAGGGCCCAAGTTGACCCATGCATAAGCTACCTCGACCTACTAATTTGTATATGGTTTCTGATTGGCCAGTCTCAACATTCTGACATTCTTAAGCGGCTGAAGGGGAAAATAAAGGGGTCTGAGTCTGTTAGGAATGGTGGGAGTTGTAGTCCAAAACACCTGGAGGGCCCAAGTTGGCCCATGCATGAGCTATCTCGACCTACTAATTTGTATATGGTTTCTGATTGGCCGGTCTCAACATTCTGACATTCTTAAGCAGCTGAAGGGGAAAATAAAGGAGTCTGAGGCTGTTAGGAATTGTGGGAGTTGTAGTCCAAAACACCTGGAGGGCCCAAATTTGCTTGGGCCTGATATAGATCCATTCTTTGGGCAGAAATAGATGGTTTCTGTGTGAAGGCATTTCCCTATTGGGTCCCCCCTTCCATTAAAGGAGGGATGGATGTCAGAACCCAAGAGAGGGAAGGAAGGGAAACCCAAATGCCATACCAGATAGGAAAGCATCATCAAAGCCCTCCTGACAGATGCTCATCTGAGAATCCTTTAGACCAGCCATGGGCAAATGGTGTTTTGGACTCCAACTCCCACCATTCCTCACACCCTTAGGCCCTTTCCTTTCCCCCCTCAGTCGCTAACCTTATAAGCCCCCCACCATTAAACCCCAGTTTGAAACTGGAGCCAGCTAGGACTCCATGTGACCTAGGCCTCAACACGTGCACCCACATGGTGAACAGGAGCCATGAGTAACTCCTCTGTTATTATGCGATTTCCTGCTCTATTTTTATGTTTGTTTGTGAATGCAGCACCCTCCAGACACCAATGGGGAAAGGCTGAAGGGAAAGGAAACCTATTGGGTTTTGGGAAGATCCAAGAAAACAACAATAAGCAACAACAGTGTAAATAAATACATCTTATTTCAAAACTCCCCGTTGGAACAAGGGAAGGAAACCAAGCCCAGCCACTCCTCAAAACACAAGATCTGACCCACAAGACATTTTCTAGCCTCTCTCTGCCATCCTGATCCTACCAAAGGGCAGGAATATTATTTTTAGATATTTTCCAGGCTCTCTCTTGCTCTCCTCATGGTCTAGCAAAAGGCATTGGGGTTAAAAGCAGGGGAAAAGTCCCTCCTGCTGTAACTTTCCTTCCCTTCCAGAGTGACAAACCAACCCTCTACTCACTTCTTTTGTTGACTTGTCCTCCTCCTCCTCCTTCCTCGTTGCCCTCCTCTGCCTCCTTTTCCCCCTTCCGGGCTCTCCTGGTTTGTTTCTGTAAATAAATAACAACCAAAAAACCCCAAAAATTGCGAAGTGGTTGTTTTCCCCGCGACGAGAAAGGGCTGAGCTGGGCTGCGCGCTGAGCGATCTGCTGAGTTGTAATATGAGTTTCCTGGAATTACTCACTCACAGGATTCTTTTCATTCATAAAAACACAGTCATGCGATGACATCATTCTTTCCCCTCCCTCCCCATCTTAGTGAAGGGCACGGGCGGAGCAGAGGGCAAAGGCAGGCGCCATCTTGGAGCCGGGCATGGGCGTTCTTAAAGGGACACGCACCTCGAGGTTGTGCGGCTGGGGCTGGTAGTGCTTCCCATCTTCAGCACTTGGGCCCCATCCACACAACTGAATAAAATCCCACATTATCTGCTTTGAACTGGGATATAAGGCAGTGTGGAGAGTTTGACACTACTTCAATTGCTATGGTTCATGAGGATTGTAGCTTGGTAAAGCAATGGCACTTTTTTGGCAGAGACAGCTTAAAACCTTGTAAAACTACAGCTTCCATGCTTTTGTAGCATTGAGGCATGGTTGTTAAAGTGGTGACAAACTGGGTTAATTCTACAGCTTAAGGAGCTGGGCATGTTTAGCCTGAAGAAGAGAAGGCTGAGAGGGGATATGAATAGCCATGTATAAATATGTGAGAGGAAGCCACAGGGAGGAGGGAGCAAGCTTGTTTTCTACTTCCCTGGAGACTAGGACGCGGAACAATGGCTTCAAACTACAAGAGAGGAGATTCCATCTGAATATTAGGAAGAACTTCCTGACTGTGAGAGCCGTTCAGCAGTGGAACTCTCTGCCCCGGAGTGTGGTGGAGGCTCCTTCTTTGGAAGCTTTTAAGCAGAGGCTGGATGGCCATCTGTCAGGGGTGATTTGAATGCTATATTCCTGCTTCTTGGCAGAGGGTTGGACTGGATGGCCCTTGAGGTCTCTTCCAACTCTTTGATTCTATGATTCTACAGTGTAGATGCACCTTCAATCTTAAACTGCTGTACTCGCAACAACAGTTTAAAAATGTAGTTTGGTGAGTCACCAAACTCTTCGGCAGAGAAGGCTAAGGCCCTTGTGAAACTACAATTCTCAGGATTCCGTAGCATTGAACCATGGCAGTTAAAGTGGTGTCAAACTGCATTAATTCTACAATGGAGATGCATCCATAGTTCAAAATGACACACATAATATAAATAAAAGGCATGTTTAATGTAAGTTCTAGGCATGTAATTCTGGTTACTGGGCACTGACCCAAAATGGCATGTGGATGTTGCTCTTCTGGAACATTTACAGGCCCAAGCTTTGATAAGCAATAAGGAAAAGGAAGTTTAAGTCCCGTGTTCTTGCTGTTCCCAAGAACTTGGTATATGAATGATATTGTCAAGATTGAAGTGGCATGTAAACAGTACATCAAAGGAAGGGCGAAAGAAACTGCATATTTGCATAAAATTTGCACATTCAAAAGCATAAATATTTACATAGGTGGACCACAGTGGGGAGAAATGGTGAGTAGGTGACTTATGTACGTGCTGTCCAGATGTTAGTTGCCGGTGAGCAATTTTGGGGCTCTGCTGGCTGCCCCTGGCTAACAAATGCTCACCTTGTAGCTGGACTGCATCTGCTCTGTAGAACTAATGCAGCCTGACAATACTTTATTAGGCCTTTAGCCTTCTCTGCAAAATAATGTCACCAAACTACAAATCCCAGGACTCCATAGCATTCACCTCTGATAGTTAAGTGGTGTCTAACTACATTAGCTCTATAGCAGGCATGGGCAAACTTCGGCCCTCCGGGTGTTTTGGAAATAAGTATTTTTAATATATATATATATATATATAGATAATTTTATTATAATAAATATGTACTACAAATACATTTGCTAACAATTACAATCGAGGCATACTTACTTTTGCAGTATTTACAATGTTTCCAATATTTACATTTTCTAAATCATTCGTTACAAAACCAGTTACAATATTTCTTCACAATTTTTCTTTCTTCTTTAGTTTCAATTACAAATACAGTTATAGTTACAAACACAATTGCAAATTCACACATATATATCTCAATTAATATATATCAAACTTTGCAAAATTTTCCAGGTGTGTTGGACTTCAACTTCCACAATTCCTAACAGCTGGTCCAAAACACCTGGAGGGCTGAAGTTTGCCCATGCCTGCTCTATAGCATAAAGGAACTCTTGTGTGTGTGTGTGTGTGTGTGTGTGTGCGTGTGCTAGATGTTCTAGATGTTTTGCATTCCAGGTCCCAAAAGCTCTAACCACCGTGCAAAGCAATAAGGATGATAGGCACTGTAGTCCCAAACACCTCCAGGGCCAATCGTTCCACACCCGTAAAATAAAGAGCACCTTCAAAGGGAAGAGTATTCATTGTCTTCCTTAAAGTAGGACACATAACCCTAGTCGTCAAAATAAAGACGTCATTCACAGTGCATGTGTTTATTTACTTTTCATATTTATGTCCCAGATTATGTGTGGGCAATCTCATCACTTTCATGAAGTTTTCTTAGGCAAGGAATACTCAAAGGTGGTTTTGCCACTTCCTTCCTGAAATATCGTATGCAGCACCTAGTATTAGTTAATGATCTCCCATCCTAGTACTAACCAGGACTGAGCCTGCTTAGCTTCCAAGATCAGGTGGGATCCAGCACCTTTAGGGTTGTAGATGATATGTCTGAGGAGGAAACTAACAAAGCCACCTCTGAGTATTCCTTGCCTAGGAAAATCCTATAAAATGCATGGGGCTGCCAGAAGTCTACAGGTGGCACAAAGTGTCCAAGGACATATTAGGGTGCATCTACACTAGACATGGGCAAACTTGGGCCCTCTAGGTGATTTGGACTTCAACTCCCACAATTCCTAACAGCCAGTAGTCTGTTAGGAATTGTGTGAGTTGAAGTCCAAAACACCTGGAGGGTCCAAGTTTGCCTATGCCTGATCTACCTATAGAATTAAGGCAACTTGACCCCGCTTTACTTGCCATGGCTCAATGCTGTGGAATCCTGGGTTTTGTAGTTTGGTGAAGCTCCAGCGCTATTCCTCAGGAAAGGCTGAAAGACCATGTAAAGCTACAACTCCTAGTGCTCCATAACAGTTAAAGTGTTGTCAAACTGGATTAATTATACAGTGTAGATGTACCCCAATATAGTTCTCAGAGACTCCTTGAGCAACAGTCCACTATTTAGATTTGAGAATGGCATCAGTGGCAATCTTGGTAGACATCTAGTCACCCATACTTTTGCACCCAGGTCTGGACAGCCCTAGAAAATACTTGCTTTGAAACTGGCCTAGCTGGTTCTCTTGACTGATACTAAGCAGGCCAGGTAGTATATATATATATATATATCCTCAAAGCTCAGCTTCCCTCTTACACAATAGCAACATGCCTTCTCAAATGGGACTGCAGTGTGGAAATGAGTAGTAGCTTAACTGGCTGGTCTAAAAAAGAGCCACAGTTACAGCCCTGCTGAGCTTTACCTGCTGCCTGAGGCAGGTGCATTAAAAACAGAAGCTATAATCTGAGCCCTAATGACTATGGTTATTAGGATTAAAATAGTCGTGCCACTTGTAAACACAAGTTTTTTTAAAAAAAGAACGAGGCTGATACAGGTTTAAACAGATGGCTGACGTATATTGTGTTTCTGTGTTCAAGTTGCCTATTTTTCTTAGGAAAGCAATATTCAGGGACGGTTTTGCCAGTTCCTTCCTCTGCAATATAGCTCATAGCAACTGGTACTTGTTGGTGGTTTCCCATGCAAATACTATCCAGGGCTAGCCCTGATTAGCTTCCAAGATCAGATCCGATCTGATATTTTTATTTATTGTATCTGGAGCGAACCAAGGGTACAGTTGTAATGTATTTTTAAAAAACACAAAGTTAAAAAACTTGGCATTATATTAAATGTTCTTTGACCAGTAGTTGGCCACTTGGAGTGCCTCTGGTGTTGCTATAAGAAGGTCCTCCATTGTACATGTGGCAGGGCTCAGGTTGCATTGTAGTAGGTCTGCCCCTTCCACACTTGCATGTCATGGACTCCGCTTTGTGTCTCCATTTCTTAAGGTTGGCTCTGCATCTCATGGTACTGGAGCACAATCTGTTCAGCACCTTCCAAATCGCCCAGTGTTCCATGTGCCCAGGGAGGAGTCTTTCATTTGGTATCAGCCATGGATTGAGGTCTGGGTTTTAGGCTGCCACTTTTGGATTCTTGCTTGCTGAGGTGTTCTTGCGAGTGTCTCTGTAGATCTTAGAAATCTATTACTTGATTTAGCGCATTGGCGTCCTGGCATTTTAGCCTGCCACTTTTAGACTATCTCTTCCAGATCAAACTTTGTACAATCCAATCTGGTGCCTTTAGGGGTATTTAGTGTGTTAAGGGCAATCTAGTGGTACACTTACTCTGTCAAATTAATGCAGTTTGATACTACTTTAACTGCCTTGGCTCAATGCTATGGACTTGGGAGTCTTGGGAGTTGTAGCTGGGCAAGGTCTTTAGTCACCTCCGTCGATCAGTGCTGCTGCTTCACTCAAACTACGACTTCCAGGAATCCATAGAACTTAAGGTGGTGTCAAACTCCTTGGCACAGAAGACCAAAGACCCTTCCACACAGCATTATATCAAGGCAGGAAATTCCACATTATCTAAATGTGGAGTTAGGTAACTTTCTGCTTTGAACAGGGATATATGGCAGTGTGGACTCAGATAACCCAGTTCGAAGCAGATATTGTGGGATTTTCTGCTTTGATATTCTGGGATATAGGGCTGTGTGGAAGGGACCCTTGTGAAACTACAACTCACAAATTCGATTAGCATTGAACCTTGGCAATTAAAGTGATGTCAAACTGCATTAATTGAACTGTGTGTAGATGAACCCCATATTCTTTGCCTAAGGAAAACCTTAGAAGTATGCCAACAGGTTATTTATTTATTTATTTAGAGGTTTTCTATACCGGCCTTCTCAACCTCAACGAGGGTCTCAGGTCGGTTTACAGCATATATAAAATACAATCATATAAAAGAACAACAAGTACAAATCATTACATATTAAAATAGTACAATACAGTACAGTAAAAACAACATCATTACAGTTTCCTAAGCCAAATCGTCAATCCAGTCCTGGTCATAGTCATGCTCGTAGTCACAGTTCATCATAATTCATCACAGGGAAAGGTTCTAGGTTCAGTCCTCGAATGCCGCCTTCCAGAGCCAGGTTTTTAGCAATTTCCTGAACGTCAGGAGGGAGGGGGCAGATCTGACCTCTAGTGGGAGGGAGTTCCAAAGCCGGGGAGCCACCATCGAGAAGGCCCTGTCTCTCGTCCCCACCAACCGTGATTGTGAGGGTGGTGGGACCGAGAGCAGCCCCCCCGGAAGATCTTAATAGCCTTAATGGTTCATAGGGGAGAATCTGTTCGGACAGGTAAACTGGGCCAGAGCCGTTAAGGGCCTTATAGGTCAGAACCAGCACTTTGAATTGTGCATGGAAGCTGATCGGCAGCCAGTGGAACTGGCGTAGCAGAGGGGTCGTATGGTCTCTGTACCCAGCCCCCGTTAGCAATCTGGCTGCCGCACGTTGGACTGATTGAAGCTTCCGGGCAGTCTTCAGAGGCAACCCCACGTAGAGAGCGTTGCAGTAGTCTAAACGGGATGTAACCGGGTTACTTGAAAGTACATACACATACACATTCAGTGCTAACTTAAGTGTAGAAGGAATGCAGTTTGACATCACTTGAATTGCCAAGATTCAGTGCTAATGGAATTTGGGAGTTGTAGTTTCACAAGGAGTGTTGGTTTCCCAACTGCCATGATACCATAGCACTGAACCATGGTAGTTAAATTGGTGTTGAATTGTATGAATTCTACAGTGCAGATGCACTCTCCCCTTTTTACATTCGTAAGGAGCCTGTGCTGAGAAACATTTTGGTGACACTGTCTCTTTAAAAAAGTGCGGGAGGGGCTGGCGCCGAAGAGCGTTCGGCGCTTCCCCGCCTTCACAAAAGATGGCGGCTACGACCCGGTTGACGTCGTCATCCGCCCAACTCCAAGATGGCGCCCGCGCTGATTCTGGAACGTCATGACGCAAGAGTTGCTCTCGCGCGCAAGGCCGCCGCCGCCGCCCTGTTCCCCAGATCTTATGACCCGCCGTGGAATGAGGTGACACATTGAACCGAGAGGGGGAGGAGTCGTTCCGGCCGCCTTTGATTGGCTGAGGGGCCGCCACGTGATTCTGTTGGCGGAAGTGGTTGTTGGGTAAGTGAGAGCCTGGTGGAAGAGGCGGGCGAGTAAAGTTCTCAGAAGTGAAACTAAGGTTAGGTTTTGGCTCCGCCTCCTGCAGAAAGACTTTAGACTTGACATGGCTGTGTGACATCCTTGAAGGTGGTTTGTTTGAGGGGCTCAGATCAAGAGAGAGTGGGCCCATTGTTCCTCTTGGAGGCAATTGTATTGGTTCCACTTTGAAAGGTGCTTGTACACACTGTAGACTTAATCCAGTTTGACACCACTTTAACTCAGAAAGGGCAAATTTTGGCCCTCCAGGTGTTTTGGACTTCAACTCCCACCATTCCTAGCAGCCGGTAGGCTGCTAGGAATGGTGGGAGTTGAAGTCCAAAACACCTGGAGGGCCGAAGTTTGCCCTTGCCAGCTTTAACTGCTCTGGGTCAATGCTATGGGATATGTGAGTTGTAGTTTTACAAGGTCTTTAGCCTTCTCTGCCAAAGAGTGCTGCTGACAAACCAAACTAAAACTAGAAATGAATGAGGGAACATAATAATAAGGCACCATGTTCCTTTTAAGATGGAAAAAATGGCATATAAATAATAATATAATTGATAGTAAGTTCCTTTGCAAGTGAAATACGTACAGAAAGAAGAGACAGATGAACATAGGCACTATTGTATTTGCTTAACGAGGCATTAAATATGTGTGTTTGATAATCTTTTTATTTACTCAATTTTGTGACATTGATTTAATATTTTGTTATTGTTTCTAGGGTGCGGAATTGTATCCCTGTTGGTTATTATTGTAATGCACTTCATTCTGTGTTTTCTTTTCTGGTAGGTAAGTGTAATTGTGGAGCTTGTTTTCCAAAGGCACCAAATCCATTATAACAATTTTAAAGGAATTTTTAGGAATGGGAGCCCCCGGTGGTGCAGTGGGTTAAACCGCTAAGCTGTTGAACTTGTTGACCGAAAGGTTGCAGGTTCAGGATCGGGGAGCTGTGTGAACTTCTGCTGTCAGCACCAGCTTCTGTCAACCTAGAAGTTTGAAAACATGCAAATGTTAGTAGATCAATAGGTACCGCTCCTGTGGGAAGGTAACGGTACTCCGTGCAGTCATGCCAGCCACATGACCTTGGAGGTGTCTACGGACAACGCCGGCTCTTCGGCTTAGAAATGGAGATGAGCATCAACCCCCAGAGTTGGACACGACTGGACTTAATGTCAGGGGAAAACCTTTACCTTTACTACCTAGGGGAAAAAAAAAACCTGCTGAGTACATACTACAACTATTACAACTAATAATAATAATAATAATACACTTAATTTATATTCTGCTTTATCTCCCCAGAGGGACTCTGATAAGATTATAGTATAAATATAAGACAAACATGTCTTTTACACAAACAACGTACAATACACAGATAAAGGTAAAGGCCTTCCCCTTTTCATCTTTGGCATCTGGAGGTGTTGAAACATGCATCCTGTTTGCTACAAAATGCCATTTTCCAAGTCCTGTACTGAAGTAATTTGATACATTATGGTAGTTCTGATCATTGCATACTTCCAGCCAGTAATGTGCTGCCACCTATATATAAGTCATTTTTCTTTCTTTTTTGGATTTGGTACCTTTTGGAAGCAACCTCCACAATTAATGACTCGCTTGCCAAAGCTGATTCCTTCATGTCTTAAAAACTCTGGAGATCTGTGTTTCTTTCTCCTCTTCTTTTCTGAAGCAACTGCATTTTCCTTAATGAGTAAGTATGTCCATAGATCACTGGTCCCTAACCTTTTGGTCCTCCAGGTGTTTAGGATTCCCAACTCCCAGAAACCCCAGCCAGTAGAGCCAGCTGTCAGAGATTCTGGGAACTGAAGTCCAAAACACCTAGAGGGCAAAAGGTTGAGAATCAGTGCTGTAGATGGAAAAGAGAGAACAAAACAGAAGCTTCTCTAAGCACCCCATCTCAGAATTTATGCTATATTTCTCTTGATTTTTTATTATTGTTCAGTTGGCTTTCTTTCCTCTTCTTCCGTGTTTATTTATTATTGTCCAGCAATTATTTCCAAGTTTGCATTTACATTTATTTTACAGACTAGCATATATGGTATATACCAAGCGTTGCCCAAGCTTGCATTTTCTTTGTGGTTCGTTCTTTCTTGCTTTCTTTCTTCCCTGCCTCCTTCCCTCCTTCATACATTTTCTCGCTCTCTTTTTTATTCCTTTCTTTCCTTCTTTCCTTGCTTTACCTCATACACCTCCACTCCCCGCTCCCTTCCTTTCCCTCCTTTGTCTTCCCTTCTTTTTCATAATATTGCACTATAATGGTATAGTGCAATATAGTAATATATACTGATATTGTACTATGCTAATAATATAATATATTGTATGAAAATATATATTGCAAGCCGCTCTGAGTCCCCTTTGGGATGAGAAGGGCGGCATATAAATGCCGTAAATAAATAAATAATAAATTGTTCCCTTCCTTTTGTCATCCCTCTTTTCCGTCATTTTGTCTATTTATAACCAATCCTTTATATCTATAGACTATATACTATCTTCTTGTGGTTGCGTCTGAGTGCTGCATAGATATATAGTTATGGGCCAGTAGCTGACCCTTTCTTTCTATATACTGCTATTTTTTAATTTTTGGAGCCTTTACGCCAAAACAATTATTTTAAATTGGGCAATGAAGGATATGTGTGCCAAGTTCAGCTTAATCAAGCCATGTAGGAACCTTTGTTGTATGTAGATACATACATACATACTTTGATTCAGCCTCTCCTCTTTTTTGCTTGTTTTGTCTTCTGGAAGTGAAATCACATAGAAGGGAAGAAATGTAACCTTGCTTTTTTCTGTCATCTGTTTATTCATCTTCAGTCCATGCGATATGAATTTTCTAGATTTTACAGACAAGTCATTTGAACCCTAGTGTAGATTTTTATGTATTAATGGCATTTATATTTTGACCTGAATTTTGTTGTTGGCCACCATGAATAGAGTGAATGGCACTGAAATGGTTCAAATGTATACCTATCCTTTCTTCCGTAGTTATGAAAGAGGATACCGTGGGGTCCTCTTGGAAACATGCAGTTCTTTGGTCGGCTTATGACTACTTTCAGCAATGTCAGCAACTTGTTTGCCAACCCTTTCCGGGTGAAGGAGGTTCCCTTGACGGAGTATGCATCTCGGAAACGTGTGAAGTGGGAAGATAGGGTAGCCTTATATGATAAACATTCAAGCCGCTCCTGGGACTGTGTTCTCATTAATCCTCAGAATCAAACAACAGCCTTCCGGTGTGTAGCAAAGAAATGCTTTTGTTTACTTAATTCTGATTTCTTTATTCCTTGACAGTAAACATGTGTCTATACTGTAGAATGGCTATTGTTTGACATCACTTTAACTGCCATAGCTCAATATTATGGAATCCTGAGAGGTGTGGTTTTACAAGGCCTGCCAAAGAATGCTGGTGCCTCACCATATGACAACTACCAGGGTTCCATAACATTTACCCATGGCACTTAACAAAGGTGTCAAATTGTTCATTCTACAATGTAGATGTACCTTGAGAATGGTAGGAAAATAAATGCATTTAATTACCACAGCCTAACTTGAAAACTTTGGTTCAGAGCCTCAACTTGGCATTGATATTAGTTTGGAAGGCAGACAGAGCAAGCCTTGAATTTTTAACACTAGCAACACAGAGAGCACTGATATACATTAAGGGCTTTAATTCACATCCTTTCGTGATTGTTTACCTGCACAGTTATAGCTTTGAGCTTCATTTAGGACATAAATTGAAGTCAGTGTGACTTCCTTGAGAATTTTTACAGAGGGCCAATGGGCAGCCTGTAGAGAAATAGATTCAAAAGCGCCCTTGTCTCTTTGGTAGAAGGCAAGGGTTTGTTGTTTTTTCTACTATTCTACTAAGAAGTTATCCGTTTTCTCCTGTTAATAATCTCTTTGCAGATTAGTAAATAATTTTGTAGGACAGTATTTTTGCAGGCTTATGTATAATATTGCAATGTGCAGTTATAAAATATTACCACAGTTTTCATTATTCTTAGTAGAAATGCTTTTGGGGAAAAAGATGATTTATTTTGTTGTCATCCTGCCAAGTGGTGGTTTTGCCATTAATATATGTCCTGTTGTCTCGTTGATTTAGAACAAAGGTGGGCAAAGCATAGCCTGCAGGCTGCATAAAAACTATAAGACCTTTCTAGCACCATTCATAATGGATTTTTTCCAGTTAAAAAAAAAAGGATGTTGCAAATCATGGAAAGCTTTAATGTGCAATTGTATGATGTTTTATGTAGAAAATACCCGAATTCCCCCCTCATCAAAAAGTGTAGTTCCCATTTGGTTACTTCTAATACTCATTCCTTGTATTTTAGCAGGGAGGGCAGGGGCTTTTGTCTTCCTTAACTTTCTGTTATTCTGATGGGATTTATCTACTGGTTTTTCAAAGGCTTCCTTCTGTCAGGAATTTAATGGTTCTTGCTGGTTCATTGGTGAGCTTTATAGTCCTGTATCATTTTGTTACTTTTTAAAAAGTTCCTGAGATATGAATTATTTTAGTCTTGTTTTGTAAATGTACTTTGAGCTTTGGAGCACAACATATAAATATGTTCAAACTAATTTTCTTTGAAGACTTTTCCAGGTAGACAATGAAGCAGATGCAAATCTGTACTTCGAGATGTATGCAAAGCAGTTGCGCCCATTCTATGAGAGTTATCGTGAGCCTTTATCCGTGGAAACTTTGCAGCAGCTGTTGGACTGTTTTCGAAGCAACCCCAACTGGTCAATGGCTCACATAGCAGTAGAGCTCGGGCTTATGGAGAGCTTCCGACACAATCATATCCTGAGGTACGATGCTCTTGGAAGATGCTGGTCACTGGGAGTTAGCGTAGGGCAAGAAAAGGCATACTCCAGGCTTAATGTGATCTGCTTGGATTTTGTACTAGATGAGCCTCAAGGTCTACCAACTGGAACTTGATGCAGGAATTGCTTCTTTATTTTTGTGGATGGAGCCAATGACCTACTTAACACCATGAACCATATATTAGGATAACCTGAAGACACCAGTATTAATCTGTGTCTGGGTTACTCACTTCAGTATAATTTAGATCTAATCATATTTGTTTTTTCGGTAGCTAGGAGTTTGACACATTTGTTGATTCACCATTTTGTGTTGCAGCTGCATAAACAGCAACAGTGGTGAAAACGAATGCACTCCTCTACACTTAGCTTGCCAAAAAGGAGACCTTGGTAGTCTGCGAGAATTGATAAATGAATGCCATGCCCGTCTAGATCTCACAGACAAAAATGGAGACACGGTCTTTCATTATGCTGTCCGAGGAACAAACCCGAAGATCATTGAGGTGAGGAGTCTAAGAAGTATGATACTTTCTCTTCTACGGACATTTCCCTGCCATAATTCACATTATGGGCTAAGGATATGTTTACAAAAACATGTCCTATTCTTAAATCTTGAACTGTAAGATTTCAACTTAATTATTAACTGCAGTATAGGAGTGAGGTATTGGCAATTCGGTCAAAAGATAAGAAACCTTGTGATAATTTGGGATGGCATTTCCTTTTGTAATTTATGAAATGATTTTCATACTATTGGTAAATAGGTAGACTGCATATCTGTAGAATATCTGTAAACAGGTGATTATTAGAGGTACCAAAATTCTGGAAAATATGCCCATCAGTATTTGTAATACTGGTGAAACCTTTCACAGTTTGAATTTCCTCATAGTAAGATTACATAATATAATAGCTATGAGGATGTTACATAAAGTAAATGCCTCCTTGACTCAAGGCATAATGCCAATTAGTTTCAAGGAGGCAATAGTAAAGCCACTGTTAAAGAAACCAGCACTGGATCCCACTCAACTGAACAACTACCAACCAGCTCCAAATATCCCCTTCCTGGGCACAGTTCTAGAGAAGATGGTGACCCCACAACTCCAAAGTTTCTTGGATGAAACCAATTATCTGGATCTATCCCAATCTGGTTTCAAGCCTGGTTAGGGAACTGGAACAGCGTTGGTTGCCTTGGTGGATAATCTAGGAAGAGAGCTAGACAGGGGGAGTGTGTCCCTGCTGGTTCTCTTGGCCCTCTCAGTGGCTTTCGATACCATCGACTGTGGTATCCTTCTGGGCCATCTCTCCAGAATGGGGTTAGGGGGGCACTGTTTTGAAGTAGCTCCGGTCCTTCTTGGAGGATCGGACCCAGATGGTGGACTCCTGCTCGACTCCCTGACTTGTGGCCTATGGGGTCCCTCAGGATTCAATTCTGTCCCCCATGGTGTTTAACATTTAAATGAAACTACTGGGAGAGATCACCCAGAGTTTTGGAGTTCGGTCTCAAATTTACTAAGATGACATTCAACTTTATTCATCCTTTCCACCAAAAACCAAGGATGCTGTTCTGGTCCTGAACCAGTGCTTGCCATCAGTGATGGATGAGGGCCAACAAGCTGAAACTAAATCCAGTCAAGGCAGAACAGGGTATAGGGTTCAGATGTACTTCAGATGTAAGTAGTGGCCAGAAATGCCTTTGCACAGTTAAAACTTGTGTGCCAGCTGCGCTCGTACCTTGAGATAACTGACTGGCTATGGTAGTCCACATCTTAGTCATATCCCGTTTGGACTACTGCAACACTGTCTATGTGGGGCTGCCTTTGAAGATAGTTCAGAAGCTTCGGCTAGCTTAGTGATCAACAGCCAGGTTACTAACTGGGGGTCCGTACAGGGAGAGAACCACTCCCATGTTGCAGTAGCTCCACTGGCTGCCGGTCCATTTCCAGGCTAAATACAAAGTGCTGACCATTACCTATAGAGCCCTGGATGTTTTTGGTCCAGGCTGTCTGTCAAATTGCATTTCCCTGTATAGACCACCTCAGGCACTGTGGTCAGTGGAGGAGGCCCTGCCCTCGGTCCCACCTCCATCTCAAGCACGGCTGGTGGGAATGAGAGGAAGGGCTTTCTCCATGATCACCCCCCACCACCACCTCTGGAACTCTCTTCCCAAAGAAATAAAAATGGCCCCCACCCTCCTCTCCTTTAAAAAACTTCTGAAGATGCACTTATACACTTTAGCGTAAGGAGAGGAGGAGGACTAGCACATCTTAAGCATGCTGCCAAAGCTATTCATATCTTATGGGCTGCTACAGTTCATTTTAAATTTTACTAGTCAGGCACTTTTTATGCATTTTAGTCATTTAACTTTTTGGGGTATATGTTTCTGTGTAATTATGTTTTATTTAATTATTAGCATTTTTGATATTTCCTTTTGATGATATAAGTTTATTGATGTTAGTTTGTATTGTTTTGATTTATGCATCTTCATTGACTATTTAATTGAATATTTCCCTTTTTTATGTAAACCGCTCAGAGTTCCTTCGGGGAGATAGGGCAGTCTATAAATAAAGTTGTTGTTGTTATTATTAAGTGTTCATAAGAATTTTTATCCTAGTCTGGATCTACACTGCCATATAATCCAGTTTCAGAATGCAGATGAACTGAATTAGCAGTGTAGATTCATATAGTCGAGCTCAATGCAATTAAACTGTATTCTGGAACTCGATTATATGACAAGGTTGATCCAGCCCAATCCAGAATCAGGAACTAGTTTAGAATCTCATAATGTTACTTGTTGAAAATAGCTACTAGCTGTACAGTGATTTATGTCTCTGTGAGAAAATAAGAAAGTCAACATGGGTAGACAGAACAGCTGTGTATTTTGATCTAGGTAGAAATGTGTACTGCCAAGCTTTGCAAAGAGCTGTCCTGTGTCTGTCAGAGTTTCTTTACTCAAGTGATACTGTTCCATTGTTCCAGCTCCTGGGCAGGAAGTCAACTGCTGCTTTGGACCATCTGAATGAGGAAGGACAGAGTCCTCTGCACTTGGCTTGTCAACTGGGCAAAGAAGATGTTGTCATCTCTCTTTTGAAGGTTAATGCCAAGTGTACTAACTTGGGACCACTGGGTTATCCCATCCACACCGCTATGAAAAACTCCCACAAAAAGTAAGTTCTTTTGCATAGTGCAGAATTTGGGGGAAATGGTTCCTTTTTTACTTAAAACTTTCATAATTCTCCAGTAGCATGGCCAGTCCCAAAAAGTAACATTTCCAGGGCTCTGGATAAAAGCACATTTCTACAAATACATATGGTTTCTGAACATAAGACTACAGAAGACCTGTTTTTGTCCCATCTTTCTGTTGTTGTTGTTCATTTGTTCAGTCGTTTCCGACTCTTCATGACCTCATGGACCAGCCCACGCCAGAGCTCCCTGTCGGCCGTCACCACCCCCAGCTCCTTCAAGGTCAATCCAGTCACTTCAAGGATCCCATCCATCCATCTTGCCCTTGGTTGGCCCCTCTTCCTTTTTCCGTCCATTTTCCCCAGCATAATTGTCTTCTCTAAGCTTTCCTGTCTCCTCATGATGTGGCCAAAGTACTTCATCTTGGCCTCTACTATCCTTCCCTCCAATGAGCAGTGGGGCTTTATTTCCTGAAGTACTATGCCCATTTCTGCTAAGAGAAAGTAAAACGTGCTGTTCCAAGTCAAGTGAGCAAAATGACTGCCCTTTCTCAGCATGGCAGGGCTAAAAAAGAAAAGGCAACCAGTGTCAGAATGCAATCAAATGATTTTTGGAAGAGCACCAATGGGATCCTCCCATACCTTAACATATTACTTTCTGTAGAATAAGAGCTTTCCTCTCTTATTTTAGATAAAGAGTTCATACCTCCAGCTTACTTTGTCCCAGGCATTTTTTAGAATGAAAATGAGCCATTTTTAAGGATGCTAAATTGGATAGATATTATCGTGAATATAACTGCAGAAACATAATAGAAGCCAGGGCATGTTGATTCCTAGTTATGGATTAGGAAATGCCATAGTAACCCTGAAGGTTATATGGCTTTGAAAACTGTTGCACCTTGTATCACACTGGGGATGGAAAAGCTGTGTGCTGAAGATCACATCCTTCTCAGACCCCTTCTACACTGCTATATAATCCAGTTAATCAAAGCAGATAATCCACATTATCTGCTTTTAACTGCATTATCTGAGTCTACACTGCCATATAATCCAGTTCAAAGCAGATAACCTGGATTCTTTATGGCAGTGTACAAGGGGCTTCAGTGGGTGGTCTTCCTCACCTAGGAAGCAGCCTCCATTAAAAATGTATTTCCCATCCCAAGAACTTGGAACAAAACTCTTTCATGGGTGAAGAGCTTTTGGGATTTGACAGAAGAGATAGGCCGGAAAAGTTTGTTAAACAAGAAACAGAAATCCACAACCAAACCCGTCTGGGAAAGTGTAGGTGCAGGATAGAAGCTAATCATATGATGAAGCCCCAAAGCCCCATAACCAAAAGCTACATTGTTACAGTGCTGTCTGAGAGTGCTGTGAAGTGGGTCAGCTGGCACTGTGATTTGTTGTGTATCTGGCAGTCATCACTGTTGACTTAATGATAATTCTAAGGAGGATCTATCGGAGGTTTTTCCTGGCAAAATTTGTTCAAAAGAGCTTTGCCTTTTTTGAGGTTGAAGGAGTGTAACTTGCCCAAGGTCACCAAGTGAATCTCAAACCCTGATCTCCAGATTCATAGTCCAGGGTTCAAACCACTAAATCACGCTGGCTCTCACCAATCACAGCCATGTTCAAAGCACATGCATGCATAGTGTGCCTGTGCTAGAAATTCTGCATGGCACCTGATGCATGAGAAGAAGATATAGGTTACAGTTAGCCTTCCATGCCCCCTGGTGGAGCAGCTGAGCTGCTGAACTTTCTGACTGAAAGGTTGCTGGTTCAGATCCCGGGGAACAGGGTGAGTTCCCTCTGTTACCCCCAGCTTCTGGCAACCTAACAGTTCAAAAACATGCAAATGTGAGTAGATCAGTAGGTACTGCTTCTGTGGGAAGGTAACGATGCTCCATGCAGTCATGTTGGCCATGTGACCTTGGAGGTGTCTATGGACAACGTCGGCTCTTCGGCTTAGAAATAGAGATGAGCACCCCCCCCCCAGAGTCGAACAAAACTAGACTTAATGTCAAGAGAAACCTTTACTTTACCTTTTAGCCTTCCACATTTGTGAGTTGACATTTGGAGATTGGATTGTTCACAGATCTGACTAAACTGTGATCTCTAGGAATGTCTATGTTCTTTCGTGCAATTTTATTGTTAACCTCTGCTGTAAGTTGGCAAAACTGGAACTTCTTGAAATTCCTAGAGAGGTGTTCACTTCCAGTGCGATTCTGTAGCCAACCTTGATGGAAGTTGAGCATAGGTTCTTTCTGAAAGACCTAGAGATTCCTAGGTTTTTGATTTTTTAAAAAACTAATTTTGAAAAATCAGTTTTTTCCATTTTTGTGAGGTCCTTGTGCCTCTAATTACAGTGAATGTGGAGGGCTGACTGTAGTCTTTAACATGCCATAGGACTCTTTGTTGTTTTCTCTGAAATAGACTAACAAACCTTTCCCTTTGTAGATAATCTGCATAATGTGCTTGTTGCTTTGCAACTCCTGCTGCCTGTTTTTTTTCTGCCCTTTTTGTGAGGATTAGATAGAGGAGCCTTGAAATCACATTATAGTTACCGGACGCACAAAGAGCCACACATTCAGCTTCAAGTTGCCTGTCACAGTCCTTCCTTGTTTCCTGCTTTTGTTGTTTTTTCCACTCTTCTAGATGTGCAGAGGCCCTTCTGAACAAGGAGATTAGCCAGATTCAGTTGGTGGATCCACGCCATGGTGCCACACCCCTCCATTGGGCCAAAAATGCTGAAGTAAGCAAGTCGGATGCCAGCTGGGCAGGCCAAAGGATCTGGTTCTTTTCATCTGTCTCATTCTGAATCTTGCTGTCATGGCAAAACCTTTTCTCCCATCCCATCTCTGAACCATCTCTGTATCTTTTATAATCTACCTGGCAGCAAAATGTTTAGTAGGAATTTTGCCATTCATGGATACTTGCACAGCCAGAGTTTTTGGGAAAAAAAACATTTCTGGACTACAATGCAGAGTTTCCAGCATGCGTGGCTATAGCTGCTATGCCTTTTCAAGCATGGCCACTAACATTTTATAGCTCTGTTTCTTATTATGGAACCTGTACTTCATCACACTAGAGAAAACAATAACTTAAAATCCGGTTTCTGCTTCCTACAGAATTCTGGGGTTTGTAGTTTAGGGAGGAGCCTGTAACAGCCTCACTAAACTATAAACCCCAGAATTCTTCAGGAGACAAAAACTGGATTTCAAGTGGATTTTTTTCTCTAGTGTGATGAAGCACTATAAAGCATGATTTTCCTTGTATAATTAGAAAAACTCTTTTCAGTATTTGTGCTGTGAAGAGATTTAGACTGTGAACTTTAGCCCAAGAGTCTTTTTTATTTGTGTTCTTAACTTCAGAGTAGAGTAGGATAGGTTGACTCTGTCTATTTTCAGCCCATGTCAGCTTCATATGTCCTTGTATTTATTTTGTCCCATGCTCTGTGAAATTCCCCCATAAAGTACATTTTTGGTATGCATTTATATGCTATGAACTGGGTTCCAAATTATGATCCATGTGATAGCCTGCGAACTGCCGTTTTAGCTGGTTCACTCTAAAAATGTGGCCAAATCACATTCACCCACATAGCTAGTCTGGAGGCATATATATTTTTGAAGATATGTGTGTGTCACCAAGAGGTATTTTTTCTTATTTAAAAATAATGATTTTAAAAATTCTATGTTATTTATTTCATGTCAAAAGCATTTTACAAATAAGTATAAAATTGATAAAATAGAGGGAGCGCAAACAGCTAAATATATTTAGACCAAAAATGGGCAACAGCGACTGCATTATCTGTAGCTTTAAACAACTCTTCCTCTGTTCATGAGGCAGGGCATTGTGAGCAAGCATACAGATGCTGAGCAAGCATACAGATGCTGAGTTGTTTGCTGTGCTCCACAGTCGTACAAGGTAGCAGATTCTTCTAGATAGTGCCATTTTGTCAGGTTGTCTTTTGATCTGCCCACTCCACTTCTGAGTCAAGGACTTCCAAGTTACCCATTCTTGGTTTGCCTCTGCGGCGGCATTCATTTGAGGTTTCCTGGTTTAGCTGCCCAGAGGGATATTCTTGTTGTTGCTGGGGGAACATTAAGAGGAGTGGTGGTTCTCATGCAACTTTTTCTTGATTTGAGTCTACTGGGAGGAGGCTGATAGGCATGCAGTGAATACCTTTCACAACCTTATTCCTCTTACAGTTAGCAGCAACTTCCTGTCACACATCAGGGGGGCAATGCCAGCTTGCTTAAACGTACACCAATCAACAGGTGTAGACTTGAGACATTCTGTGATTATTCTACATATTTCGTTCCGTGTTATATCCACATGATTTGTGTGGACAGAGTTGTGCCAAACAGGGCAGGCCTACTCAGCAGTTGAGTAAGCCAAGGCCCGTGCTGATGTTCTTATTAATTTTGGGTCTGCCCCCCATGCACTGCCAGTAAGTTTCTGCAGGATGTTATTGTGTGCAGCTACTTTGTGCTTGGTGTTCAAACAGTGTTTCCTAAATGTTAGTGTTCAATATAAGGTGACACCGAGATGTTTAGGATGGAAACAGTCGCCTTCAACTTTGGATGGATTATTTGTTTTCTAATTCTGGAGGCATTGCTTATTGTGTTCTTTGGCCAAATATTCCATAAGCCTCACAATACTTGCTTCAGCCAAGAGAAGCCCCTGGGAGTAACAACATGGCATTTTTTATGGTGCCCTCTCCTCTGGATCTAGATGACCCGGCTACTTATTGAATATGGCTGTGAAGTCAACACCCTCAGTGCAACTGGGGATTCAGCTCTGCACATTGCTGTACGGCGTGGGCGCTTTGACTGCGTGATGGTGCTGCTGACCCATGGAGCCAAGACCAACAGCAAAGGGAAGGATGGGAACACACCACTTCACCTGGCCATGCAGGTGAGCTTCCTGTCAGGCTGCTTTGCCAAGATTGAGGAGATTCGAAGAAATAGAGACATTTTGTCCCTCAAATGTTGAGAAACTAAAACTAGGCTTTTCAGAAACAAGTTCTAGATCTACATCCAGATTTCTGAATGAGTTGCTATAAATTTCTCAGGATTTCTGGCTCCCATTGTTTAACATTGGTAGCAGTAAAATATCTTTCTAGCCATTCCTGATATCAAGAAAACATGAAGTAGCCAGGACTTGATTTCTGGGAGTTCTGTTCTACTATGCAAAGCAAATTCCTTGTTTCACAATCCTTTCATTCTAAGCATATGTTTTTTGTTACTAATCTCTAGCTGGTGAATCTTGTTACCAAGTGAAAATGAAGCATCGAATATACTCGAGTATAAGCTGAGTTTTTCAGCCCTTTTTTTTGGGTGAAAAAGCCTCTCTGCTTATACTTGAGTCAAAGTTATTTATTATTTTACTCTGTTGTTATTATTGTTATTAGATATATTATTTACTTTATTATTATTACTATTATTATGTTTACATTATTTCACTCTATTATAATTATTTTTATTACATTTGTAATTTTATTCTATTTATTATTTGGTACACAACAAAGTTAGTATACAGCAAACAAGATCACTATGCTGACTTTTGTATTTGTTTAAGTGCAGGCCAAGGTCTTTAGGCACTGCACGCAGTATGCCGATCACCACTGGGACCACCTTTACTGGCTTGTGCCAGAGTCTTTGCATTTCTATCTTTAAATCCATTTTTCTATTTATTATTATTATTATATTTATTATTTTACTCTATTTTTATTACATTTATTATTTTACTCTATTAATAATTTTATTGCATTTATTATTTTGCTCTATTATTATTACATTTATTATTTTATTTATTAATTATATTTATTATTTTATTCAATTTATTATTATTATTATTACATTTATTATTTTACTCTATTGTTATTATTACATTTATTATTTTACTCTCTTTATTATTATTGGAAGGATACGTAAGCACATTTCCATTGAAGAAGGTTAGAATGATGATTTAATCAGAGTTGTACAGTTCTTATCTTGAATTACAGTTTTATGTAAATATTCAAAATCATTTAACCAACTGATACCTCAATTAATGTAATTTTATTGGTATGTATTTTTATTTTGAAATTTACCAGTGGCTACTACATTTCCCACCCTTAGCTTACACTCGAGTCAATATATTTTCCCAGGTTTTTTGTGGTAAAATTAGGTGCCTCGTCTTATATTCGGGTCGGCTTATACTTGGGTATATACGGTATATGTTACAAGCCTGAAGTTTGTGCAGTCTTCTTTTGATACAGCATTTACTGATCCTGCTTTTAAGTTCTTTGGCCTCCAGTTCTCCCTTTCACATACTTATTTTTTGGTTTACTCCAGTCCAGCTAAATGGGTCCTCTTTCCAAAAGAAGCTTATAGAAACATAGCTCTTTCAGTTGGATGAATATATAGACAGTTCAAAGTTTGACTGCCTGTTACTAAATGGTTTAGTTTCCTTGTGCAAGAGGTCATGGATCTGACCATACATTACTTGACAAGCTCTTTTTATTTTTCTTCATAGCAAGACCATCTAGAAACAATCAAGGCGCTTATTGTGTTTGGAGCAGATATGGATATCCCCAATGATATAGGGGAGACGCCGGGCTTGTTGGCAGCCAGGACTAGCAAAGGTGAGAAAGAGAGAGACCTGTGTGTTGGGGAGGAGAAGGATGGGAGTACGTTCTGGGTCTGAGTTGGACTTTGACAGTAATGTGGACAAGATACACAAGTTCATTGCCCATGCAATCTTTCATGTGAATGAACATATTTAACTTTCCTACTTAAAAGCTGATGGTTTTTAGGGCCACCAGCTATGGAGCAGGGCTTGTAGGTTGTTAAAATATATTTTGTTGCCCCCTTCCAGGCCAAGCACCTCTACCTGTAGATAAAAATAAAAATAATAATAATAATAATAATAATAATAATAATAATAATAATAATAATAATAATTTATTTATTTATACCCCGCTCCATCTCCCCCAAGGGGACTCGGTGCAACTTACATGAGGTCAAGCCCATCAATACAATAAAAACAATATAACACAAAACATAATAAAACCAAAACAAAATACAAAAAAATTGCAAAAACAATATAATATATAACACAACAATATAAAACCAGGTATTAAAAACACAGAAGATTTCACTGGGCAGGTCCAGATTCAGGGATTAAAAACTTACTTTTTTAAAAAAAACATTGGGAGATAGGACAGTGTAAATTGTAAGGAGGGGTCCCGGGAATGAGGAAGGATTTCATTGCACAAACCATAAAATAAAGTGCTTCTAAGGACATTTTGGGCAAAATGTGGTCAGGGAGTGACTTATATTCAGTCACTGAAGGCACATTGGAATAGCCAGGTTTTCAGATTCCTCCTGAAGATTGCCAGTGTGGGGGCTTGCCTAATATATCTGGGGAGTGAGTTGTAGGTTGTTAAAGTATATTCTGTTGCCCCCTTCCAGGCCAAGCACCTCTACCCATACATTGCTCATTCATAGTTTTCCTGTTAAGTGCATGGGATCAGGCTGGTTCAGTGCTTACAGTAGTCATCATCTGCTTGATTTTCGTGGTTTTCTCTCTAATGCATGTGACATCCTCACCATACAAGGTGCCAACCGGCAAGTACTGTTAGACCTGCTGAAACTTTTAGGGACTGAACGCTTCCACCCACCTGGTTCAGTCATAACAGCACCAACATCAACTACCTCTTCCGTCCCAGAAGGATCATCATTCCCATGGAGCACTAGCCAAAACCTAGGTAACATGCTACCTAGTCCTGTGCTTCTCTCATTTCCTCCTTTTTCTCTCCTGTGTTAGGGATTTCAATAGGGAAAGGTATTAGTATGTGTCAGCCATCATTGTCTCATCTGATAATGATATAAGGCTTTTCACTGTCAGATGAATATACTGAAACTAAAATCAATTGCTAGCCAAAAAATAAAATTCTGGAATTCTTCTTAAGCATTATGACTGTCTCCTGATACTATCTTCTCCTCATGTCCTTCCTCTTTCTGAGTTTATATCCTGGTATTTTGCAAAAGACAGATAATAAGTCTGTTGGGACAGCAGAGAGGCACGACTCTTGTGTCCTTCAGTAGCTATGTATGAAGGAAAGTTTGGTATGCAGTCAGCCCTCCACATTTGTTGGAGTTTAGTGGGCTACATGGTGGCGCAGCGGGTTAAACCACTGAGCTGCTGAACTTGCTGACCAAAAGATCAGCAGTTCGAAACCCGGGAGCAGGGTGAGCTCCCGCTGTTAGCCCCAGCTTCTGCCAACCTAGCAGTTTGAAAACATTGAAATGTGAGTAGATCAATAGGTACCGTTTCGGTGGGAAGATAATGGCATGCAATGCAGTCATGCTGGCCACATGGCCTAGGAGGTGTCTATGGACAACGCCGGCTCTTTGGCTTAGAAATGGAGATGAGCACCAACCCCCAGAGTCAGATACAACTAGACTTAATGTTAGGGAAACCTTTACCTTTAGTGTGCAGAACCCTTGTAAAAATGAAGAAATGTGAATAAAAGCACCCTATTTAACCTAAGGAAACACCTCTCTAAGAATCACTGCATCCTCCAGTGCAGCTCTGGGGTCAACGTCCATTAGATGTGCCTTTCTGTGTAGTAAATTTTTTTTTTCAGCCTTTGGCCTCTGCAGCAGTAGAGGCTATTAGTTTCCTGGTCTCTTAGGCATGTTCCTTCCCATTCTGCTAAATAAATAATGGATTGTTTCTTTCCTGGATGGCTCCTCTAGAGTATCAAGAATATCTGCATGTCTCTACACTTAGCACCATGGAGAAAAAGCCAGATGTGACGGAGTCCGCCATGGAGAGGCACAAAGCGTAAGTGAGCACTGTGCACACCATGACATTGTCTACCCTCTATTGGGATAAGAATGTGAAGATCCCTTACCTTACCAGCCTGGGTGGCAGGGCCTAGGAGAGGCAGGCTAGTTAGTTTCAGCCTTAGAAGGCCTGGCAGAGGGCAGCAGGAGCCATTTTAGTTTAGGGAAAGCTCCATTTCAGAGAGGGGGAGTGGCCTAGGCCTGAGCCAGCCTTAGAGCAGCCAGGATTGGTTTATTAAAGGGGGGCGGAGTTAGACTGTTTGGAGGGAAAGAAAGAAGCTTTTTTAGTCAGTCAGTCTGTTGATGTTAGAGTTAGAGCAGGGTTACAGAAGTTTTTAGGAGTTCGTGTTAAGAATAGGCAGTTTGCCTGAAGTTTGCCAGCGAATTAAGCTGTGGCAAACTGGGTACAGCTATTTAGGGGAAAAATAGCTGGGTTTTATATTTGTAACCAAGAAAAGACCATTCTCATGCAACCGTTACGCTCTCAAGAACCAAAGCATTTTATCTGTAACAGCCAAGCCTCTTAAACAGCATTTACACTTTCTTCTGTACTATATTAAATAAACTTTCCTTGTTTTTTTTGAAACTTAAGCCTGAGTCAAGTGTACATTTGTGGATTTAGTCCCTTTTCCTTTTAATTCAACCTCACCTGTTTTCCTTCAAAGAAGCCCTTTAAAACACAGTGTTTGGTGGTCCTAGAAGCCCTTTTTAATATTTTAAATAGCTAGAGTGTTCCTGTACATTTAGTTATGGTGGCAGCGGAAGTTTAATTAGTGAGACATCTCCTCAAATGTTATATAGGTGCCAGTGAAGTCTTTATTAAAGGAGGGACAGTTGGTGGGATCTGTTTGCCCCCTGTCCAGTTATATTGTTTGGTCACACGACGAGCCTTTATAATTGGAGGGACAGCGGTGGGATTGTTTGACCCCCTGCCCAGACAGCCATAAAGGAGTCTTTATAATTTGGTGGCAGCAGTGGGATTTGTTTGCCCCCTGTCCAGACAGCCGTAAAAGATGTCTTTATAAACAACAATAAAGTAATATGGCGGGAGCCTGGAGGGAGGATCTGTTAAATTCTCATACATCTAGGTTTTTCTGCTTGACACTTGGCACTTTGTGAATTGATGGTTTTATCTACTGTTGTTTTCAAAATTGTATTATTTTGATTTTATGCTATATGTGTTGACAGGGTCTGTTATAATTTTATGTGACTTGTTTTATACTTACCATATGTACTGTTTTTACCTATTGTATGTTATATGTGCATACTGGAGTTTTTTTGTAAGCCGCCACAAGTCCCTTCGGAGACATGGTGGCAAGATATAACTAAAGATTATTATTGTTGTTATTATTATTATTCCTTTTTCCTATTCAAAAGCATTTTGACCAGAACTATTCCCTGGTCTGAGGCCCCCTGGTGGCACAGCGGGTTAAACCACTGAGCTGTTGAACTTACTGACAAAAAGATCGGTGGTTCGAATCTGGGGAGTGGGGTGAGCTCCTGCTGTTAGCCCCAGCTTCTGCCAACCTAGCAGTTCAAAAACATGCAAATGTGAGTAGATCATTGGGTACCGCCTTGGCAGGAAGGTAAGGGCACTCCATGCAGTCATGTCGGCCACATGACCTTGGAGGCGTCTACGAACAATACCAGCTCTTCGGCTTAGAAACGGAGATGAGCACCACCACCCAGAGTCGGACACAACTAGACTTAATGTCAAGAGGAAACCTTTACCTTTACCTATTCCCTGGTCAAGACCCATGTATACCATTTTGTGATGTTATTTGTCTCTTTATGAGGTCTCTCAGTCTTGAGAAGCTGGTGCTGGACATTGAATTTTTTCCTTCTCTTCTTTTCCATCCTCTCTTCATTAGGCAAGACCGTCTCTTGAGTCTGGATGGTGGAGGTGTTCGAGGCGTGGTGCTTATCCAGTTTCTCATTGCTGTAGAGAAAGCAGCAGGGCGTCCTGTCAGAGAGCTCTTTGACTGGATTGCTGGGACCAGTACAGGGGGGATCCTGGCCATTGCTGTTGTGCATGGTAAGGAGTGACTGGGGCAACAAAGATACTCCTGTGAAAAAGAGCCCAAGTGGGAATGAACAAAAGCCCTGCTCAGGTCCTGGAAACTCAGGATTATGGCTTCTTTGGTTGAGCCTATCCACCTGTAAGAGAATGATTATAGAAATGTATATCCTATATGTACAATAGGATTGCACTACAGCAGCCCTGGTAATGGTGGGTAAAGATAGATATATAAAAAGAGTCTGAGTTTTTTTTTCTATGGAGAAGTAAAGTATTAGAAGGATTTCCTGCCCTCATCTTCACTCTGTAACTGAATATGAAATTTTTCTTTCATGCTTCCATTCTGCACTGTGGTTGAAAGCGGGTATTTAATTTTTGCTTGGTTATTACACTTTGTGTTTGCCTTTTCCACCCCTCCTTCAACTTTGCTGTCCCCCAGACATTGTCTCATGGACTTTACTACCTGTTGACCCTGTTGTATCATTCCACTTTTCCTCTAAAATGAAACTTCCTTACCTATCCAGAATATTAGCCCAGTTAACTCATTACTGTTTTCTTTGAGTGGCAGCAGCAGCTCTCAAAGAGAAGCAGAGAGCTTTTCCAGGCTTCATTACCTAAAGCCCATTAGCACACCATGGCAAGGATCTCACCCTGAGACCTTCCGTATCTAACACACATGTGCTATGCTTTTGCTTCAGGATGGCTCAACTCTTCACAGGTGTTAATTCCACTTTTGTTGTCGGGCAAGACGGCTTATTTTTTTTTTTTGAAAAAAATTGATTGTTTATTGTTTTATCCCACCCCCACCCTCCCCTCCTTGTACATACAATTTATACAGGTTTACCTCACACTCCTCAGGACGACACTAGCTTTGGCTCACTGCCTCTAACAGGCTTCAGCTTACTAACTCTTTTGGTGCTTGACTCACACTTTGGTACTCAAAAATACCCAGTTTATTTTTAATATTTTTGACATTTGTCTCTGGTACAGACTTTGTTTACTTTCTGTCATGGTTTAGAGGTATCTGCTTTTCTGTTCATTCCATCCTCAAATCTCCTTCCTTCCCTTCAGTCGTATTTTCAGCTGTCTCACACGTCGCACAAAACATGGGTCCCTATAGTTGGCCATGAGTCTTCTGGGTTGTCTGCTGCACATATCGTATTTAGATGTCTAAATGTTCCTTCAAGTGCTACAGGGGGTGGAATTGGGGAAATACCTCTAGATAAATATCCAAGGGTGATCACTCAGGTAGGATGAGAGATGTCCTCTGGAAGACTATTACTGTTTTTCTGCCTCTCAGCAATACCCATGGATCACATGCGCTGTTTGTACTTCCGCATGAAGGATGAGGTATTTCGTGGGTCGCGGCCTTATGAGTCACAGCCCCTTGAGGATTTCCTAAAGAAGGAGTTTGGAGAACATACAAAAATGACGGACGTCAAGAACCCCAAGTAAGCTAAAGCTCTCCTTCTGTATTCTATCCTACCTTGCGAATTTGTTGTGAGAATATAATCATTACTAATAGACTGATTAAATAAAGAATAAACTGGAAATACTAGGGGTTTAATGTGGCACTATGTGCAAAGGAAGAATTTATGTTACCAGCTGTGGCCCTTCCCTAAAATAAAATGAAAGGCTTCTTTGGTTGATCTCTCCCAGGCTCTTGTTGACAGCAACTCTCTGTGACCGCCAACCTGCTGAACTCCACCTGTTCCGGAATTACAATATCCCAGAAGTGAAAAGCAAAACTCATAGTAAGGCAACGAGCTCTTTTCAACCAATGACTAAACCAGAAGGTAAATGTTGACTCAAGACGTTCACTAGATAGGAAGTTTATATTGAAAGATAGTTCATCTTCTTTGCATGTCTTCTGGGAATGTGACTAAGCTGTATAAGGCTATACTAAGTGCATGCATTTATGATCATGTCATAAGTAGATATCTCATCTTAGATGAGGTTGGGGCATACCACTTTTCTCTAGTTTGTATATTTCCACCAGCGGTGCCAGCGATGCATGCAGCAGTGTGTACTTACAGTTCTTTTTTGCAGAGGATAATTATGTATTGGAAGAAATAAATGTATAGCCGCTTCATGCTGTAGGATCTGATACTGGTCAACATTACTCAGTAGTACATAAGAAATATACAACAGTAGGACAATCTGTGGTTTAAGTGCAGTAATATACATGGCCCATATAGCCCCCCCCTCCCCCGTGGCGCAGCAGGTTAAACCACTGAGCTGTTGAACTTCCTGACCAAAAGGTTGGTGGTTCAAATCTGGGGAATGGGGTGAGTTCCCACTGTTAGGCCCAGCTTCTGCCAACCTAGCAGTTCGAAAACATGGAAATGTGAGTAGAATAATTGGTACCGCTTCTGTGGGAAGGTAATGGCGCTCCATGCAGTCATGCTGGCCACAAGACCTCAGAGGTGTCTATGGACAATGCCGGCTCTTTGGCTTAGAAATGGAGATGAGCACCACCCGCCAGAGTCGGACACGACTAGACTTAATGTCAGGGGAAACCTTTACTAACTGTACATGACCATATTCTCTGATTGTCTCCATTACAATGAATGAATCTAACCTATATATTTTGGATCCAATTCTGTATTCTCCATTTACCATTTTCCTCACCCTTATTTTGCTTTGCGTAGGAAAGATATTTGTGAGGCATATGAACACAATTAATTTTTCTCATTTTTCTGTGAGAATACAAATGATAGTTCTTCACCTTTTTGCCTGCTGTCTTTGTCAGCATGTGCCAACTGAATTATCTCATTCTTTTATCTAATAATGAGCTCATCTGTCGTGTCATTTCTGGAACAGAGTGTTTCATACATTTAATCACTGCATCTGCAGCTGAGGTGCTTCTGATTCCTTTAATAGTCTTATTAGATTATATTTTGTAGAATCTTTTGGGGTGTGTTTTGGGATTTTCTAGCTATGAAACAGTTGACATGTCTATTGATCCTCATTTGGGCAAAAAGAACATGATGAAGCAAACCACTGTTTTTCAGCCTCAGCTCCTTATCTTCTGTCTATATAAATAAAATAATGTTAGTTTGTGGGATTAGCATAATTCAAAAATCGCTGGACGAAGGGACACCATCAGACCAACGAATGACTCAGTCATAAAATACTGAAAAACACAGTGGAAGGGAGTTAAAACCCCCAAAAAGCAAACAGACACTACAGCGCATGCACAAAAATGACTCCCCCAGCAAACAAAACACACAATAGCATATCCACACTCTCTTCCAGACTACAGCTCCCAGCATCCCTTA